CCAACAGAGTGTTTCAGACTGCAGGAAGTGGTTGAGGGTTACTCAGCAGTTGGTGCGTCTCCTTTTGTGTCCACATGGATCTTGAGCTGCCCTGTAGTTTCTGTTGGAAGTGATATTGTTCAGAAGACATGTGAAAACCAAGGCCTAGCTTGCTGTGGTCGCTAAATGTATTGCCTGGCTTCCTCTGAGCGATGTTCTTGTTTCTCCTTTCTAAATTTATATTATTTAATTCATCTGTATTTTCAAGTAATTTAAAGGCTGTATTTCTTTTCCCCTCAACAAAACTGGACAGGAGTATGCTGTAATTATTTGCCCTATAATAAAAATATTTTAAGAAAGGATGAAAGTGATTCTTTACTTTAAGGAAAGGACATTCATGAAAAGTCTTAGTTTTGCAAGTGATGGGGAAAAGGTTGATTTAATATTTTCTCTGTATAATTGTTAGCATACCTTAGAAATTGCCTCAATAATTTTTGAACTTTGTACTTTTTGAGTATCAACATTTGAAATGTTTTCAATTTATGTAGGATAACAAAATAGAAAGTATTTCATTAGCCCTCTGTTTAGACTCTGTCAAGTATTGCTTTCTTTAAGATACGATCTATTCAAATGTATACACATAAACTTAGCACAGCTACATACACAGACACACACACTCACACATAGGCTCTCTCTCTCTCACACACACACATATTCACACATACACACAGGCTCTTTCTCTTTTTCACACACACACACACATACACACACACACACACACACACACACACACACACACACACACACACTTCCTTTTGAGTGTTCTGAAAATGGTCAGATGACAAGGCAGCAATCTTCCCCTGAATGCTTCCTTATGTGAAGTTGGTTCTTTCTTAGTTCTATCCTTGCCAATTTTAAATTTCTTGCCAGAAAAAAATCTATTTTTAACATTTTAGGGTCTTATCCTTCCTTTCAAACCTAACAGGCACATTCTGTAGAGTGAAAGAAAGCTGATAGGGAGCACTTACGAGTCAGGATCCTCAGGATTTGCAATTTCTGTGGAATCAAAGCTATGAATGAGGAAGGCCAATTAGAAATACTTAAAAGATCATTTGTCACCACTTTAATCTTCATGTATTTTTAAATCATCATTTTCTTTGACTAAAATTATTAGAATCTTTGTCATATTCTTCTCAAGGCCAAATGGAAATGATGATGTTCATTTTCCATGCTCTGTATTTTGGAGTATTTTAATATGTCACACTAGATTATAGGTGGTAGATGGTGACTGTTTTAATGGAGGAAGTTTAGCTTGTGGCATATTCAGCATCATGTCGTCTCAATGTCATGTCTCTGATTAATGCTGTACTTCATATACAAATGAAGACTGAGGGATTTAAGAGCATTTGTTTAATTCAGAGATTAATATATCCTTCAACCCTGAAACAGAGGCCCTCTGAAACCTTAACCCAAAAAATTGGACACGGCCTACTAGCCCAAAAAGAACATGTTGCCAATTCTCTCCATGTTTATTTAAATATTTTGCTCTAAAGGAAGCAATCATTCCTTTATATTTCTTTAAATTTAGTATTGACATTTTTATTTTGGGAAAGGAGGTCTTTTTTTATAACATGGATACAGGAAAAGAAAACTCTCCAATAAAAATATTGTCTAAAAAGTTTGTTTTGTTTGCATGATTTACTAAATATGTACAATTTCAATTCACAGCGAAGGTAACAAAGATTTAAACAGCCAACATCACAAATGTCTCAAGTTCTAAAAAAAAGTTCACTGTGCACAGTTTGACAATTTAATTGAATAAAAACCAAAGCTAAGCCTTCAGTATGAATCTTTTTCATGATGGGCACAAGCCATGTATGGTCTTCATCTTTGTTTCACGATGCATATTCAGTGACTAAAAGCCCCTTCCCATTTTAGTATATTAGGTTATGTCAGTATACTGAGGAGAGGCATTAGCAGCCTCTTGGTTCACCAATACAATCTGTGATGTGTTCACATATATATTGTAATATTTATTAATATATAAAATGATCACAAGTCATCTGTGACTTTTTAATGTTTTAAGATGTAGGAATGTTTTTCTATATGTATAAAGTTTTAAATTTATAGTTATGTATGTAAGCCATAATAATTTACCAGTGTCCCTTTGATGTAAGGTGTCTGGAAAGAATATTATGCTTTTGAAGGATAGAGATGTCACATCTCTATCTGCTTCAGATTTGTAAAGTTTGCCATTATGTGAATCCAAATATTGTAGTCATTCTGATGTAATGATCAAGTGAGTGAAATAATTAATCATCATTAGAAACAAATGCCGGTGAGTACAAAATCATTGTATTTCAGTTAAGAAGGGAGCCATAGCTTTAGCTACCCTATAACATCTACAATAACATTGTTTTCACATATATTTTCCCCACGTAAATTCTTTGGTGTTTCCCCCTCTTTTAGTATTAGTGCTGTGAGTGATGAACATGCAATGTAAGATTCAAATAATTGTACTGAGCATGTTTATTTGAATAATTGCCCCATTGCACATCAAATAAATCTGCTGAGTGTGTTTGTTTGAATGCATTTTACATGTACATGGAAGCACATACTGAAATAAATGCAGCTGTGTTTATTATAATGTGCGGGGGCTTCAGAGCACACACATTTGTTTGTGTGCATATCCAGGGCTCACAGCCCGGAATGGCCACAGATCCTGGAGCAAAAAAAAAAAAAAAAAAAAAAAAAAAAAAAAAAGAGAGAGAGAAAGAAAAAGAAAAGAAAAAAAAACAAGGCTAACAATTTTTTAAAATTCAAATATATATATATATATAAACTTAGTGGACAATATCTTCAAATTTATGACTAAATTTTGATGCTGTTAAGGCGTATGTCCTTAGAAAGATAAAAATAACATTTTAAAGTTATCTGATTGTGAAAAGTATCTAATAAATTTATTAATACCTATTCAAATATAGTCCCTTCTTTCCTCCTTCCTTCAAGCCCTCCCATTCCACTGCAAGTTCAGTTCATGCTAAGGGAGATGTATGCTGTTAGTTCTGGCTGAGAAATACTTATTTCTTTTCCCAGTTTCTCAGAACTAAGCCTACAGTGTCATGTGCAAAAATGAAAGAACCTCATAGATCTGCTAGAATACAAAAGGCTCTTG